ATAAATAGAAGAAGTTTAAACATTCCTAACAGAAAGAAATGATAAATGTTTGAGAAAATGGATATGCTAATGACTTTGATTTGATCATTACACATAGGTGTCAAAATATACTATACTGCATAAATATGTATAACTATTAAGTGTCAATTAAAAATTGCATAGGACACAGCTAAAATAGTGCTGAGAGTAAAATGTATATCACTAAGTGCATACATTGCAAAAGGAGAAAAGTCTCAAATACAAAATCCAACCTCCCACTTCAAAGAGAAGGGAGGGCACAACAAAAATAAGAGCAAAAAAATCAATGAAATTGAAAACTTAAAATCAATAAAGAGTGGGTTCCTTGAAAACATCAATGATATTTACAAACCTCAATCAAAGCAGACAAAAAGAAGAAAGGTCAGTATCAGGAATGAAACAGGGAATATCACTACAGATGTTTTCAACAAAAGGTGATGGCACAATTAAACATCCATAAACTATAAAATGAACTCTAAGTTTCACATCTTATATAAAAATTAACTAAAATTTATTATCCACTTGCAATATGGTTTGGCTGTGTCACCACCCAAATCTCATCTTGAATTGTAGCTTCCATAATTCCCAGTTGTTGTGGGAGAGACCCAGTGGGAGGTAATTGAATTATAGGGGTGGGTTTTTCCATGCTGTTCTCATGACAGCGAATAAGTCTCACAAGATCTGATGGTTTTATAAAGGGCAGGTCCCCTGCAATTGGTCTCTTGCCTGCCACCATGTAAGACATGCCTTTGCTCCTCCTTCATTTTCTGCCATGACTGTGAGGCCTCCCCAGCCATGTGGAACTGTTGAGTCTATTAAACCTCTTTTTTCTTTATAAATCACCCAGTCTGGGGTATTTTTTCATAGCAGTATGAAAATGGGCTACTACAACTTGTAAACCTATAAAACCTTTAGAAAAAAAAAAAACACACACAAGAAAAACTCTTTGGTATATAAGACTAGGCAAAGAGTTCTTAGACACCAAAAATGTGATCCATAAAAAGAAAAATTGAAAAAGTGAACTTCACCAAAGTTAGAAAATTTTGTTCTGTGAAATAACCTATTAAGGAGATAAAAAGACAGGGTACAAACTAGAAGAAAATATTTGCAAACCACATACATGTCAAAGGACTAGTACCTAGGATATATAAAAAGCTCTTAAATGCAACAGTAAACAAACAATTCAATTAGAAAACAGGCAAAAGAAAGAGATATTTCACTGAAGATGTTATATTGATGGAAATTAAACACATAAAAGGAATTTCAACAACATTAGCCACTTGGAAAAAGCAAATTAAAACCACATTGAGATATCATTACACATCTATCAGAATAGCTAAAATAAAAAAAAGAATTAACAAAACCAAATATTGGAAAGGATGCAGAGATATCATATCACTCATATATTGCTGCTGGGAATATAAAGTGATGTGGCTGTTCTGGAAAGAGTTCCACAGTTCCTTAAAAAAGGAATAAACATGCACTTGCGAGGCCAGGCGTGGTGGCTCATGCTTGTAATCCCAGCACTTTGGGAGGCTGAGGCAGGAAGATCACGAGGTCAGGAGTTCGAGACCAGCCTGGCCAACACGGTGAAACCCCATTTCTACTGAAAATACAGTAAATTAGCAGGGCATGGAGGTGGGCACCTGTAATCCCAGCTACTCAGGAGGCTGAGGCAGGAGAATCACTTGAACCCGGGAGGCAGAGGTTGCAGTGAGCCAAGATCATGCCACTGCACTCCAGCCTGGGCAACACTGTGAGACTCGGTCCCAAAAAAAAAAAAAAAAAAAAAAATGCACCTGCTATATGGCCCAGCAATTGCTCTCCTGAGCATTTATCTCAGATAAATAAAAATTTATGTTCACACAAAAACCTGTACATGAATACTTATAGCAGACTTATTCATAATAGCCCCAAACTACAAGGCACCCAGATGTCCTTCAGGTGATGCATAGTTAAACAAACCATTCTGTACAATGACATACTACTCAGCAAGACAATGGAAGGAGCTACTGATACATGCAATAATCTGAATAAATCTCCAGGGAATTATACTGACTGAAAAGAAAAGCCAATCCCCAAAGATTTCATATGATAAGGCTCTCTTTATATAGCATTCTTAAAATGACAAAATTAAAGAAATGAAAAACAGATTGCTTGTTGCCAGGGGTTAAGGACCACGTACGGGTGAAAGGGAAGTTGGTTTGACTATCAAAGTATAGCATGAATGATCCTTGTGATGATGGAAATGTTCTGTATCCTCGCTGTATCAATACCAATACCCTTGTTGTGATATTACACTATAGTTTTGTAAGATGTCACCATTGGAGGACACTGGGTAATTGGTACACAAGATTCCTCTGTATCATTTTTTATAACTTCATGTGAATCTAAAATTATCTCAAAAAATTTATTTTTAAAAAATGTTAAGGTTAAAGTGAATTTTAAATGTGAAAGAGGTCGAGTGGAGAAATAATTGGAAAGAGCACTGGACTTCGGGTCAGGAGTTTTAGATTCAAGTTTTGATTCAATCAACTTAAGTAAATAACTCCTCTTGTCCAAAATTATTTGTATAATGCAATTGACAAGACCTGCTACAGTTATCTCCCAGAGTTGATAATAGGTGAAAATTATATTAATTAAGAGAAAAACTTTAAAAACATAAGAACCAAGGCTCTATATAAATATTTGGTATTTAAAAGCTTGCATTCTATAAATGATGCCTCAAAGCCTATTTCTCCTGGTAGTTTAAAAATATAATTACCTGGCTAAGACTACCAACTAATTTCACTTTCATCATCATTCAATAAATCTCGGAAATAGAAGCAAAGAACAATCTTGGACTAGAGAAGAGAAGAGCCTGATCTCCTTTCCAGCCCTATGACTCACTCAAGAAGCCAGGAATATGCCACGTGTTCTCTTTCTGCTGCAAGGGTTGCTGTGAAATAACCTCATTTAAGCTGTGTTGTACAGAATGGACCACCTTAATGCTGAGATTCCAACATTTTCTATTTCAGGACTGGTTTGGGGAGATTGCACAGAGTTCATCCTATGATCCTTCATGTGAGAAGGAAGCCATTCGGCCATTTATAGCCTAAGAAGACAGAGCTAGAAGAGATAAAGCCAATCTTGGCTATGGCTGCTATGGGGACAGAGGGTAGAGATCATTTGCTCCGTTGGAGAAATTTGGAACTACTGTTGACCCTTGAACAACATGAATTTGAACTGTGTGGGTCCACATACATGTGGACTTTTTACAATAAAAGCACCTGTCTCTCTTGCCTTCCTTTCAACCTGCTCCACCTCTTCTACCTCTGCCACCCCTGAGACAGCAAGACCACCCCCTCCTCTTCCTCCTCATCCTACTCAAAGTGAGAAGAGGATGAAGACCTTTATGATGATTCATTTCTACTTAATGAATAGTAATGACTTTCTTAATAACACTTCCTTTTCTCTAGGTTACGTTATTATAAGAATACAGTGTATAATATATATAACATACAAAATAAGTGATAATTGACTGTTTATGTTATCAGGAAGGCTTCTGGTCCACAATTGGTTGCTACTAGTTAAGTTTTGGGGGAGTCAAAAGTTAGACATGGATTTTTGGCAGCACAGGGTATCTAAACTCCTAACCTTAACCTTGTACAAGGGTCACCTCTACTGAGATGCTTTTGCAGCCATTAACTTTCAGTGATTTCAATATATTCTAAACTGACTTTTTAAAATGAGAGAATATATAAGCTCATTTAACAGGAAGTTTAATAAAAGCTGGTTGATCCAGTACCCCAGTGTTATTACCCAGGATTTAGGTTCTCTACATTTCTTGTCTTTGCTATACACATGGTTGGCTTCATTTTTAAGGCTGGTTCCCACCACAGGACAATTGTGGATTCATCCATTTTCATTCAAATCCGGGGAGAGAGCACGAGAACAGCTTGTTCTTTAGAGCAAGGCAGAACTTTCCCAGAAGTCTTCCACAAACCTCCCTTCACATATCATTGGCCAGAACTGGGTCACAGGACTTTTTATAAACAAATCACAGACAAGGGGGTATGGGCTAACCCTTAACCCAATCAGAGTTACTCCTGAAGCTGAGGGTATTCCTTGGACTCACATGGGCTACATAAAGACAGGGCACTTGGACAAAATTGAGGTTCTTTTAGGAAGAAAAACTGAGGTTGTAAGCACTATGTAAGTAGTTGTTGCTCAATAATGCTGCCATCCTGTCTTAATTTAGCTAACAGGACTAAGTGACAGATTTCTGAGGACTCTGATACTAAATGTTGTAAACATAGGGTAGAGTTTGACTTTTTTAGTTTTGAATCTTTCTTTAAACTGACTGTGAAACTTCATGAAACTCAAGTTATTGGGCCCTTGTTTTCTTATTTCTGAAAGGAAATAAAACTGTATAACCTCGGGCAAGTTACTTACCTTCACAATGTGTCAGCTTTCTCATTTGTGGATTCCTTATCTAAAGTTTAATAGTACTTTACTCATAAAGTTGTATTCGTTTTCTAGGTTTTCCATAACAAAGTACCACAGACTTTGTGGCTTAAACAACAGAAATTTGTTTTCTCATATTTGGAAAGCTAGAAGGTCAAGATCAAAGATTCGACAGGGTTGGTTTATTCTGAGGTCCTTGGCTTGTAGATGGGCATCTTTTCTCTATATCTTAACCTGATCTTGCTTCTGTGTGTGTCCTATCTCCTCTTCTTATAAGGACACCAGTCATATTGCATTAAGGACTACTTTAATGGCTTCATTTCGTATCTTTAAAGACCATATCTCCAAATAGGTCACATTGTGAATACTAAAGGTGAGGACTTCAGCATATGAATCATGGGGCAATACAATTCAATGCTTTTGATATAAGAATTAAGTGATTTAATACATATTAAGGATGTAAATCTGTACAGTAGATGCATATTCAACATTAGTTATAAAATTATCTTATTTTCAGTAGTAGCAACAGATATAAAAACAATAGTATTTGAAGTAGTAATAGCATCACTAGCAGGGATAACAGAACTGTCTGAGAGAAAAAGAGAAAGAATCCTTATGCAAGGAAGGGGGAAGATAAACTTTATAGAAAAATGAGACTCAAAAGACTAGTATTTGTTTCACACTCTTCCAATTACTATGGCTGTTTAACATAGTATGTCAAAACTTACTGGCTTAAATCAACAACACTTATTTTCTTCATGAAATCTGCAGTTTTGACAGGTCCAACAGGGATAGCTCGCTCAAACTGCACTTGTCATCAGCTGGGACAGTTCAGAGTCTCACTCACATGTCAATGCCAGCTGTCAGCTGGGACCTCAGCTGGACACGTACGTGGGGCCTCTCCACATGGCCTTGGTTTCTGCACACATTGTTGCTGGTCTCCAAGGGTGAGCATCCTGAAAGAGAAAAAGTGGAAATTGTAGTGCTTTTTATGACCTAACTTCAAAAGTCACTAAAAATTACTTTGGTTGCATTCTACTCATTTGAGGCATTCATAAAGACTGTCAAAGTTCAAGAGATGGGGAAAGAGACTCCTCCTTTTGATGGAGAGTGTCAAGGTCTGGAAGAGCATGTGTGACTACATTTACTGCAATGGTCATGTTTGGAGAGTATAATCCTCCATTCATACCTACCTTCCCACACGAAGCTTCTCCTTCTGGAGCTTTCTTTCAAAAACTTGGGTTTGTGATTTTGTTCCAGATCAGAATTGGATCCTTATGCTATGCTACCCAAATTCCAGAGATTTGATGATAAAATGGCACATTTGGCAGAAAACTTTTGAGAAGATCTTTATCAAAGAGGGAACTCTCTAAATAAAGGTTCAATGTGCCTCATAGTTCTCTTTGAAACAGGAACATACAGAAAGGGGGCTGACATTCTGATTTCCCAGATAATCTTTCCTTTTTATGATTTTGGACATAAACATGTCTCAGACCTGCACAAGGAACTCAGATTTTCATCCTTAAAATTAAAACTGAAGAATAAGGAGAACCACATGCCCTTATCAGCTCTAATATTCTAAGAAAATGAGAAACAAATGAATTAAGAACATTTAAAAGCTATGCACTGGGTTCATCAAAGATTCTCCCACTGAAGAGAGAATCTGAGCTGTTTCTTGCTTTATATTTGAATGCTGTGCATGGTTTTCATGATGGCAGTAATAATTTATTGACAAAATGCTTTCATTGAGTTGCCTTTACTGAAGAGGCCCTGCATGCCTTTTCACCAGCTTGCTACAATTAAAAGCAGCAGTAAACAGAGCCTTTCTATTTAGATTGAAAAGCAACGATTAAGCTTACCCAGCTATAAATAGGAGGCAGCTTCACATCTATGGCCCCAACTGCACACATTAAAGACTCTAGCTCCAAATGCCCCCAGTTTATTTCTACAGGACAAACCAATAAACTGTCAAACTCTGACCTTAAAACTGACAATTTCTTAGAAAAGGAAAGTAGGTAAATTATGCATAATTCTAAATAATTACTGAGATGTCTGTGAGGCCAGGAAATCAGTACACACGCTGGAAATCTAAATTTGTAGGCTGCTAGCTTCTCCTTTTGCCATTATCAAACCATGGTTTGCCTTGAGCAGCTGTCAGAGATGGCTTTTCTTTGCTTGGGGGTGTAGAAGAAAATAATGGACTTAAGAATTACAGTAGAGAAGACGGAAAACACAAAGTTATTTTTTTAAGATTCCCCTTGGCTCAAGGGATTCAGCAAGGAAACCAGAACATGGACAGTTACTGTTGAAGGTTTTTGAATAAAAATGTTTAAATGCAAGCCATTTATCCCACCTATAAGCTGTAGCTATCTGAGTTTTTAGAGATGTGAAGGCATTTGATTCAACCTTCTCACTTTCTGCAACAGGAAACTGGAGGCTAAGGAAGCTGTGTGAATTGTCCAAGGTCACAGAGCTTGACAGCAGCAGAGCTGGAACTCAATAGCTTTTCTGTCACTGCAGTATCCACTGAATGGAAAAATTTGTTCTTTTTTTTATATTAGTTTTAGTATAAAACCCCAGATTAATGAGACCTAAGTCATAAAAGTCCATGGGGTGCTATGTTTCTTTGAGTGCAAGACAAGCTTCCAAAGGTGACAGGATTTTCCCACTTGGAGAAACATGGTCCCCTCTGCCTCAGTATCCTCCATCTGAGCCAAGAGTTGCCTATGTCCAAAAGCCCAAGAAAGTAAGTGTCCAAAATATGTCTTGGGTGATCATATCCTTTTTAAACTTGTGAGTCCTCTTCATTGCATGTTTGCACGTGGCCTGTGTCTCCCAGTGATTTTCCAACTGCCCATGACTCCCCTTGGGTCATGCACTGGATATTCTCCGTTGCCTTCTGTCACCTTCTCTACTCAACTCTGTGCCCAGGAGACTGGCACTTATGTATGCATCAATGTCACCCTAGTCCTTTGGCTATAATCAGGCTGTGCTATCAAGGATACCAACAGAAGACCGATAGCATGGAGATAAAGAAGCCACAGTTTCTATTCCCACAATTCACTTCCTGCAGAATAAAGTACAGTTGCCCAGCTGAGCCCAGCCCACATTAGCCAAACCCCAGAAAAATTAGTGAGAATTAACAACTGCTATACTAAACTACTCCATTTTAGAAGTTTTTAATTCAGCAGTATCTGACTGATACAAAATATGACAACTGCAAAGAATTTAATACAACATAACCAGCTTGAAACAGAGATCAATATTTCTGAGACCCAGAAATGGAAGTGAACTCAGACTGGGATTGAATTTGTAGATTCAATTGACTCCACATCCAGAAGCAAATGGAGACATCTGGGGCCCTGTGGGGTAGCAAAGCTAAAAAGCATCCCATGGGAAGTAAGAGATTCACTCTTCACATTCATTGCTTGGAACTAGTAACAAGTTTGAGGTTCTCTCATGCATTAAAGGGGGCTGAAATAAACTCTTAAAACCACTGTCTGAACTATAAAACTGGACAGTAGGGAAGCCATAGAAAATAAAGTCTTTTATCCTGAACTTAGGCTTAACTGCTGACTTGGTAGTTGAATGTGCAAAAACCTCAATTTCAATGCAGTTTGGGAGCCTTGAGCTACCAATATAAGACCTGGTTTTTTGACTAAATGTTATTGAAAAATAGTGGAAGAAGAGATTAATATAAATCTGCAAGACTATGAGACATAAAATGGGGAAGAGAGAAAGAGACAGAGAGAGAGAGAGAGAGAGACCTCCATTCAATAATAAAATTCCAAAACACATAAGGAAGTAATGCTAAGAAAGACAGCAACGAAATAAACAGGACTGAGTTCACTCTAGATGAAATGGAAATAATAAAAGAGACTATTACCCACTTGCCTTCACTAAAATAACTGCTGAAGAATGTATTTCAGGCAGAAGAAAACACCCTAAGAGACATAGAAGAATGGAGTGGAGTGCAGAAACAACAGTACAGAATTTCATAAAATATTATGATCAATTTAATTAACTATTGACTTTTTAAAAGAATGGTATTTTTCACATTATGAGATAAAATTCAAATAACACCAAGAAAGACATAGATGGGAAAAATATTATGTATGTACTAAAAGTATACTTAGTTCTTGGGTTATTTGGGAGAAGAGCAGAGATACTAAATCATTTAAATTCCGTTCAGATTTTTTTACTTAAAAATGTTAAAATGTTAAAACTATCACTCAAACAGGAAGAAAGAAAAGAGGTAAAATAAGCAAAAAAAGAGCATGGTAAACATAAAATATATAATAACTAAGTCCAAATAGAGCAGTAATCAAAATAAATATAGAGGAATCAACTTACTTATAAGAGCAAGATTATCAGGCCAGGTATATAAAAATCCAACCATATGTGATTTATAATAAACACACTTAAAACATAATGGTCCAGAAAGGTTGAAAATAAAGAAATGGGAAAAAACAAGTAATGCAATCACTAACCAAAAGAAAGCTGATATGGCAATATGAATGTCAGATGACATTGGATCCAGGCCAAAAAGCATAAAAAGAGACATTATGTAGTGATAAACCCTGTCTCGACTAAAAATACAAAAAATTAGCCCGGCGTGGTGGCAGGTGCCTGTAGTCCCAGCTACTCGGGAGGCTGAGGCAAAAGAATGGCGGGAACCTGGGAGGCGGAGCTTGCAGTGAGCTGAGATAGTGCCACTGCACTCCAGCGTGAGTGACAGAGTGAGACTCCATCTCAAAAAAGAAAAAAAAAGAACAGTCCTGTATTTGAATGGCCAAGATTATGGCTTAAAATATAAAAGAAAAATGAAGACAAAATTACAAGACAAAATTGAAAAATCTACTATTCTGTCTGAGATTTTAAAACATATCAAAAGCCAGTGGAGCCAGCAGAAAATATCAATTTGTATTAAAAAGCTGAAAAATAATAAATTCACTTTATAGATGTAGAAACTGGGGCCCAGGCAGTTTGAGTGATTCATGCAAGATCACAAAGTTTGTATGAATTCAAGCCAGGACTAAAACTCATACTTTCTAAATACTAAATACTAATACTATGCCTTCTAAATACTAATCCTATGCCTTCCCCATTTTATAACATTAACACACGTAGAAGAAACTGCATATCTGCAGAAATGATTAGCCTTTTCTATGTCCTTAAGAGAATCCTTAGTGTGGTAGCATATCTGCCAGTGTTCCACTCAGGTTACCTTGAATTTCTTTTAGTTTTTCAGGGTGCCTTTTCTTACCTCTTACATGTTATGTTTCTAATTATCCATCTCTGTGATTCTCTATGGAGAACCACCCTTAGGCCACTGGGGTGGCTACTGTGAAACAGAAGTTCCTGGGATTTTACACCCTCAATCATGGCCCTTATTCAATGACTGACTGGTGTGGGAAAATGGAAGCCCAGCTCCTTTGCCTTGGAGTTCAGACAAATCTAAGGTATAATTTTCACTCCGAAGTTCCCCTGTGGGATCAGGCTGAGGCTGAATCTTGGCTTGGCTTCTTCCCTTCTCTTTCCTCCTTTTTACACTCAGTTCTACCTTGAAGAACTTCCTCAATACATTGAGTTGCATGTGATTTCTCACCTCAAGGTTTGCTTCTGGGAACCCTTTCCTAAAATGAGGACCATACAACTCTATACTAGGAGTAAAGAGAGAGTAGAAAGTGGTTCTACAGAAAACCAAATACAGCATGTTCTCATAAGTGGGAGCTAAATGATGAGAACACATGGACACAAAGGGAAACAACAGACACTGGGGCCTATTGGAAGGTGGAGGGTGGGAGGAGGGAGAGGATCAGGCAAAATAACTCATGGGTACTAGGCTTAACACATGGGTGATGAAGTAATCTATACAACAAACCTTTGTGACACAAGTTTACCTACATGATAAACCTGCACACGTACCCCTGAACTTAAAAACAAACAAACAAAC